ATAGGTTATGTTTTTGGAAATGTTATTTCATAACAAAATGACTAAATGGGTGAGACAGTGGTGCAGTAGGTAGTGCTGTCGTCTCACAGCAAGAACGTCTCTGGGTCGCTGGTTAGAACATCGGCTAGGTTGGCGTTTCTGTGTGGAGTTTGGTTGTTCTCCCTGCCTTCGCGTGGGTTTCCTCCGGGTGCTCCGGTTTCCCCCACAGTCCAAAGACATGCAGTACAGGTGAATTGGGTAGGCTAAATTGTCCGTAGTGTATGAGTGTGTGTGTGAATGTGTGTGTGGATGTTTCCCAGGGATGGGTTGCGGCTGGAAGGGCATCTGCTGCGTAAAAACTTGCTGGATAAGTTGGCGGTTCATTCCGCTGTGGCGACCCCGGATTAATAAAGGGACTAAGCCGACAAGAAAATGAATGAAAACGACTAAATGTTTCTAAAGTATGATGATTTAAAGCAGGGGTCACCAATCTCGGTCCTGGAGGGCCAGTGTCCCTGCAGGGTTTAGCTTCAACTTGCCTCAACACACCTGCCTAGGTGTTTCAAGTATACCTAGTAAGACCTTGATTAGCTTGTTCATGCGTGTTTGATTAGGGTTGGAGCAAAAATCTGCAGGACACCGGCCCTCCAGGAACAAGTTTGGTGACCCCTAGTTTAAAGGGTCACAAAACACCTAAACACATTTTTTGAGCTGTTGACAGTCCTATATGTGTCCCATGCTGCCAAAAACACTATTAGGACACATATATCTCACTAAACAGTGAAATTGGTTGTTTTTGCGTTATTTCGAGCAAATTAGTGCTTCCGGTTTGAAAGGTTTTTTTGAAGCTGCGTTACGGCGATTAGATCCTTGCGTGTATTCCGGTGTGGAGAGTGGACGTCTGTACCGGAGAGTACATCGTGAAGTCTCTGAGTGTGCAGCATTAATGCATGAGTAAGACTGTGTTCAAACCAATCAGCACGATCAATTGTGTATGCGGTGCAACTTCATTAATATGCATGATAGCTTCGAGAACAGTTTTTACCCGTTACAGTGTTCAGACGGCAGAGACGCCATGTTGTGTTGCAAAGACAAGTGGAAGAATTGTTTGGAAACACGGGTCGTCAGTGTTGAGTTTATAAATGTGCTGCAATTAAGGTTTTGTTTTCATTTCCCGCTATGAGAGCACAGCTGGACTCATGTGTGAACTACAGTACATGCGGCAGAAATGCGTTTGTAAGGAACATTTTAACCGAGAGCTTTTCACATCTGGAAATGGTGAAATCCCGATTTGCCGCTCGTCTTTTAAAAAACACGCAGCTCCAGTTGGTGTTGATTGTCCTGTCTCAACAGATTTGGTAAGTGTGTGATCAGTGGTCTTTGTTTATTCAGAGGCAAAGTTATTTCGTATCATCAGCAGTACTCTTTCAGTGTTTAAAGACAGAAAGTCAAAAAGATTGAGTTACTAAGTTTACAGCATGTTAATATCACTGCAATATTATAGACATGATAGATCCGCTGTAAATGCTGCACTCCGGATGTAAACATGTGCAGGCTGAGAGTTGACCAGCTAAAACCAGCTTGACCAGCTTAGTCAGGCTGGGAGCCCAGATAAAACCAGCTATGTCCAACTTAAACCAGGATGGTCAACCATAGTGTTTTATCTGTTCACTTCCCAGCCTGACCAGCTAAGACCAGGCTGGAAATGGCTGGAAACCAGCCTGGAAGTGGCCAAAACCCCCCTAAAACCAGGCTGGTCAACCAGCTAAAACAAGCCAACCATCTTAGACTGGTTTTAACTGGATTTTTCAGCAGGGTTAAAAGTAATTTTTTTTAAAATTGACATTATTACAGCGTGCACTTTATAAAGGTGTGCTTAAGTGTGTCAAGAAATATCATAAAAGTGTCTCTCAAAGTCTCTTAAAGTACACTTAAGTAAAGTCTCTTTTGTTTTCTATAGTCTTAAACTTAAGTGTCTTTTTCTGTCATTAATATTATATTATCTAGAAATATTCTATTTTCTGATTTGAAGTGCTCTACAAGTTCACATTCAGTGCAATTAGCTGTACTTTTCCACAAGAGTATACATCTGGAAAAAAAAAAAAAAACATCTATTTTTTGGCTGACTAGATACAGACGGATGATTATTAGTTTTTGCTCTTTCTGAATGCGTAGAATGAGACTAAGAAAAATGACACTATTGTATCTGCCATTCCAATATCTTAGTGCAGCATGCAAGTGTATTCATTTAGCGAAAACTAATCCCTCGGGAGAAGGAAAACTGTTCTGGCAGAAAATGCAGCATTTAAAACTCCTGCTCGTCTGGAATAAATCAATGTAATCTGTTCTTTATCATGTTTCTCTGGAAGAAGAAGAAGAAAAAAATCTATATAAAGATTTAGGATTGAGTGTGTGCGGAGGTGTCCTGGTTTGTGCATTCAGCAGTGAGTCTCATGAGGTGTGTGTGTGTGTGTGTGTGTGTATAATCTCAGCTGATTGACTTGCTGGAGCGCAGACTGACTCCAGGGTCAAACGGTGACAGTGTTTTCTGACCCGCAGCGATGTCAAGTGCTTCAGTGTCATCGGGGTGAACACTTTCAGGGAAATTTGGGCTATAAATGCGATGCACTGGTAATTTTGAGGGATGGTGAATGCTGTGGCTTCATTTGGAAAGCATATTATTCATTGCACACTGAGCCTTGTCCTCCTGCTAAGTCATCAGCAAAAAGAATGGCAAACCTTTTAGCTCATTCTGGCATAGACTGATCCGTAAAAACACTGAGCAAAGTGCACACTTCTTTTTTTCTACAATAATACAGTACTGTATATGAAAATCTGTATATGTATATGAAAATTTTAGTAAATACTATAGTGTCTTTGAACCACACTAAAATTAATCTGTTGTGGTAAATCTAGTAATATAAACAAAAAATACCCAATAATCATTCATTCATTCATTCATTCACTTATTTTCCTTCGGCTTAGTCCCTTATTTATCAGTGGTCGCCACAGCGGAATGAACCACCAACTACTCTGGCAAATGCTTTACACAGTGGATGCCTTTCCAGTCACAGCCCAGTACTGGGAAACACCCATACACACTTTCACATTTACACACACACACACACACACACGCACGCACACACACACACAGATTTTTTGTGAAAAGTGGGGACATTACATAGGTTTCCATTCATTGTATACTGTCCAAACCGTATATTGTATTGCCCTCACCCCACCCCACCCCTAAACCCAACCATAACTGGAGTCAGTGTGCAGCTTAACTCTCTGATTAAACTCATCCTGTGGGATTTATAAGCATTTTCAGAAGTGAGGACGTCACCAGTGTCCTCATATTTCACCTCCTTTTTGTAATACCTGTGTCATACCTATGTCATTATACAGATTTGTGTCCTCATATGTCACAAAAACACGTACACACACACACACACACACACACTCTCATTAACTATGGCCAATTTAATTTCTTCAATATAGCACATGTGTTTGGACTGTGGGGTAAACCGGAGCACCCAGAGAAAACCCAAGCCAACTCAGGGAGAACATGCAAACTCCACACAGAATGTGGTGTGAATTAACTCTCGGTTTGAGAATTAATTGGCATGATGTAGATGCAATGTAACTTAAATTCAACAAACGAACCATCAAAATAAAGTGTGACCGAAATGCCAACTGACCCAGCAGACCAGCAACCTTCTTGCTGTGAGGCCACAGTTCTAACCACTGAGCCAGCATTCCCCCCCAATTACCCAATATTGTAGGTTATATGCTGTATATATATTAGTGCTAGGCAATGATTAACATTTTTTCTTAAATCATAATTAATTGAATTATTGTCTGTGATTAATTGCAATTATTCCCATTATCATACGCAAAAAATAATTAATTTAAAAGTATTATATTCCCAGCTTTCATTTTAAAAGCTGTCACATTAATAAAAGTGTAAAAACACTATGAACAACTAAGATGTTTTTACAGCAGTTTTTATTTATAAACTAACTTACAATGTTATATATATATATATTGTTCTGTGTTATAATAAACACCTAAAAAAAAAGAGGTTCTTTTTGTATTTTTTTTTTATAAACTCAAATTTGAAAGTGTGTCTTTTAGGTTGTGTGTGGTTTAGCGTGCTGTAATTAATTTTGGTGGTTCCTGCACATGTCTGTAATCATAGGAAAAAAGAAAAATGTCTCCACCATAATCTATGCAAAAGTTATTGTATTCCAACTGATGAGAGGTGCTGTACAAGCCACAGAGAGCGATCATTGTTTTCATATTTCACTATTCTTTTGTTTGATCAAACATAATTCACTGTGTTTGGACCACGTCAGACATATAAAGGATTACTTATGCACATCACCTCAAAAACAGAGGAGAAATGGCCCTGAAGCGCACAGCATAAGGTAAGAGATGACAGCTGTCTGTGCTATCTGGGGCTGCTTATTGATCATAAATGTATTGTTTTCACTTCTGCGCCATGGAAACACCCTGATTCATTCGGCAACTGTTGGATATGTGAATTTAATTCAGTAAAAAGAACGCTAGAACCGTATGAGCACCAGCAAGAGATTTCATTTGAGCTATAACTTGTACATGTGTCATATGAAAAATATGAAAATGAACCAATGTTCATTAACCAGCTCGGGCATCCAAAATACTGTGCATTTAAGTGTAAATAACTTTTGCTCGGATGCATTTGTTGAGAAAATAGAGATTCTACACTTTCAAATGAAACCACTTAAGGGGGCTGGTGCAATGCTAGTGTAATGGATGTCCTTCTGCGTTGTGTTTGTTGGTTTAAATGAAAGGATCCATACAGCAATGTGGTCGAACTTGAGTTTAATCTTGTCTCTCTGTATCATAAAGCATATAACAGACAGTTCATTAAATCTTCACAGCACAGCAATGTCTGTCTGTCGGACGCCATCTCACAAAGTGAGCGCATGAGCACAATAACCATGTTAAAAATAAACAAAAAATTTTGACTTGTAACATACCTGTATCATAAAGCAAATAACAGACATCAGTCCAATAAATCTTCACAGCACAGCGATGTCTGTTGATCAGTACACAATTTTAGACTCATTTGTTCTCATTTTTACAGGAAAATGCAGATATGCTACATAAACCTTCTCAAAAATAAATGTAAAGTGTCAACCGGATTTAATTAAAGCCCTAATTCACATTTTACATAGATAATTTATATGTAATAAAAGTAAAAGAAACATAATAATAAACATATACAGAATTTAATTTGGACTAGCTATTGTGCTCATTAAACTTAACTTATATGGAACGTTCCACCCTCAATTATGATCCAAATCTGTTTCCCTCACAATAATGATACAATAGTTTACCTTACTGAAGATACTGAATAATCTAAACATCCATATCAATGTAATAATATAGGCATTTATAAGAGGAGCCGAAAAACGCACCTGTCTGTCGGACGCCATCTCACAAAGTGAGCGCGCACCGGAAACTACGTCAGCTATTATCTCGCGCCTACGCGGTCATACTCACTTAAAAATACCTATATTATTTTTCACATGGATGTAAAGAGAACACTATCGAAACTTTAAACACTGAAATAAGAAGAATGCAAAATATTGAAGGAAAAGGAAAGTAATTAATTGTTTGTCATGTCCATTTCCTTTAAACCGCCTTTCAAAATAAAATACCCTTCCGATAATAAAAAAGAACCAATAATCTAGTGCAGCAACACACACACGCCACACTAGCCCTTTAAATCTTAAATCGAAAGTCGATGACGTCACAGACCCGGTATTATAAGGTTTAACTGGTTAAAAATAGTGATGGTCAGAGACCTGTTTTCCTTAGCTGCACTACCTGTCTACTTGATTTTTGTTAATGTTTTGTCTCTTTTGGAAATATATGATTTATGAAAATTAAAGAGTATTGACAGGACATCAATTTATTAATTCAATCGTCTGTTTTTTCATATGCTCGGCTCAAACCATGATTGATGTTAATATTCAAGCCAGTTTTGAGTTTTGGGCTGTAACAGCTAATAATTCTGACTTCAATTGTAAGGGCTCTATTTTGACGGTCCATGCGCAGAGCGCAAAACGCATGGCGCAAATGCTTTCTGGGCGTGTCAGAACGCATTTTTGCTAATATAGGGACGGGAAAATCCGCTTTGCGCTGTGGCGCGTGTTCTAAAAGGAGCATCTACTGCGCAAGAATGAGAGATAAATGATCTACTTTCACTTTCGCTCTCGTAGATAGGAAAACCTTTACGCACAGACATCAATTAGCCTATAAATAGTTAATTTCGTTTGTTAAGCGCAAATATTTGTATCAAAATTATTTCGAAATTCAGTTCTAATTTCCAGCAAACGAATAAATGAATAATAATAACGAAGTGTGCTCAAAAACCTGAGTTATATCCTAAAACACATGCCATGCCCCATATGGTCTAACACCTGACATGTGGGCAAATCTAAGCTTGTTTTTATTAAAACAAATATAAATATGGATATAATAAATAATACTGCTAATAATAATAACATTATACAAAAGCAAATTGTTATGAATGAACTGAAAAAGCCTCCCGAGATGAAGAAGACATAAAAGCAGTGATTTTTCATATTTATGTAGGCTAGAAAATAATATGTTTTGTAATATTTTAATCCTTTATATTTTTATCTTATATTTCTATTCTTATTATATCCTATATATATATATCCTTAATATTTTTTTTGTTTCATATGTAAAGATATTTGCGTATTGCTCTACATCTTGTGTGTAGGCTATTAAGCAGTGTGTAAGCGAGGTGCAACTCTGCGCTGGAGTTTTAGACCGGGTTTGTTTTGGTCTAATGAAAAATCTATTATAGTTTCTCAAAATAGCAACGCGCCAGCAATGCGCCTCAGAACGCCTTCCTTTTTAGACCAGAACACCTATGGGCGCACATATGAGCGCAAATGCATTTGCTTTTTAAACAGAGTAGTGCAAAACAGCAAAACGACACACGTCAAGCTGAAACTAGCAAACAATATTTGCGCCGCGCCTTGTGCCGCATTGCGCCGGGTGTATGAAAGGGCCATAAGTATAACAATTACAGTACATTTGATCAGAAACAAACAACTGTGCCCAATCAATCAAAACAACTTGTAATTGTTGATACAACAGTATTTTCGCACTCTTCAGTTATTCACGCTACTTAATACAGAGGTGCAAGAGGGCATTTAGCTGATTTGCATGCCAAGCTGCTAGTTTTTAGAAAGCTTAATTGTGCAACAATTATCATCTGTGCTGCGTTTTAATGCTCCAACAAGCAATGCTTAATAAATCTCTTTAGTTAAAGCGTTTGGCCGATTGCCTTTGTTCAGCCGATCCCCCAAACAAACCAATTCACCGCATTAATAACTGATAATGATGATGGGTTATTCCAGCACATGCTCGCCATCCATGTTCTTGATAGGTACAATGTACAATCACTGTCAGACTATTAAATAGCAATTAAGCATCGACACAAGGAGGTAAACACAGCATGCATTACCCTCCGATGCCTTTGGCAGGCATATTGTAGTTGGGTTTGACACCAGCCTCACACCGTCCATTGAATCTCATGCATTTTAAGGCAGGTGAAATAACCCTGCAAACAGCTGCTCACAGCACCTAATAATGGATGATAGATATATATATATACAACATAACAATATTGGTTTTGCCACGCGCACTCCTGCATATGCTCTCTCTCTTTCTCCGTTTGCGAATATCTGATGTGTTGTGTTCGTAAGCACACACACACACACAAATACACACGTTCCTGCTTCCTCTCACATCCGTCTGCCTTTGACACTCTTGCATTTAAATAGTCTGAAAAGCACAGAAAATTGCTTTTTGTGTTGGGCCGCAAATGTGCATGCTATAACGCAATGGCCTCCTAATGTTATGTGACTAAAAGAACTTTCCACTGGAAATAACTGAATTGCAAAAGCCTGTACAGTGTCTCCTGAAGATTAATGCGGTAAATAAGTAGACCTATTTTTAGATGCTGAGATTGTTAGAAAATGACTCATTGCCTTTGCTAGATCTAATTCGCTGTATTATTAAAACAGAAAAAAAGGAAAGAAATCAAGACGGCGTTCCCTGTATTCTCGCTTCGATTGTGCGGTCGACACTGGATGCAGGGAAATGTTAACTTGTTAATGGCCAATGTTTGCAGTTTTAATGCATAAACATAAATCATACATTATGAAATAACATGTTGCGCTGCTGATATGAATATGACAACTGTCATGTTCAATTCGATGCAGCAAAAACAAGCTTGCAATGTTTTAACCAATGCATATCTTCTTCTAGTTTCAGAAAACCAGGTAAGTTTTTATATTTAGCTGGGAGGTAGCTCTGCAACTCTCACATGGTCGCCCACTGAAGCTAAGGGTGCTTTCACATCTGTAGTTCGCTTCATTTGGTCCGGACTGCGCTGGCTGATTGTATCCCTGCTTTAGACAAACTATACATTACGAAAATGAAGCGCGGTCGCGGCTGGAATACAGTGGTTAATGCATCACTCGTCACTTCAGGAGGAGACGTGAATTAATTTAGCTAAACTGCAACATGCTCATCTTGCAGAAATATTATCAATGATCCATCAGGTAATCAGTGGCGTAGCGCAAAATGCGGAGGCCCCCCTGCAGGGATCATCGACAGGGCCTCCAGTTGAGGGGGGGGGGGGGGTGGATACACATAGATCTATGATCGGGAGTTTTTCTGAATGTTAGTATGCATTTTTTTTAATTATGAAAATTTTTATTTGACATCACTTTTCTACATTGATGGATCAGTGACCGCACGGGCATTCCTGACAAAAAGCTTGTGTTTGTGTGTATGGAAATGTACTATCCACCCTCCCTGTTAAATTTGATCTAATCATGTGCTGAAACACAGCTCCTCTCCTGCTTTCACTTCTCATACTGACGGAGGGAGCGATTCGTTTGTGAATGAATCTCCGTTATGAACGACTCGTTCACTAGCCGACAATAATACAAGTTTCTGGCACCACAGCATCTCTTTGTCATATTTCTTTTGTATTGTTTGCTGATTTATTCAACAAACCTAGCATAAACCGAGTGTTTAGTGCGAGTTGGTGCTACTTTGCCTTATGGTGAATGCAGTAAGTGACTATAGCTATTATTATCAATAACGTGACCTGTTTAGCACAAATTTCAAAACATACAAAAACGTAAAAAACTTAATCCTATGAGTTCTGCCTTTGTGCTTTGTTTTCTTTGTTTGCTCGTTACTACACTCGTAGACAGCGCTAAAGTCCCGCATCTTCACGTAATAGCACTGTCTTGACTAGTGCGGTTGAATGACATTTGTCCTGGGAGCACTGTACCAATGTGGCGGCGCTATTGACGCATGCTCAGGGTCTCTATGCGATATCTAGTGTATATATCTATGTCACAAATTGAGGAGCGGGGAAAGGAGGCGGGGTGGAGCGACAACGCGGGGAATCCTTCACAAACTGAGGAGCGATCACAAACCGAAAGTGGCGAGAGCCTAAAAGTAGCCAGAACTCATTCATTTTTTAACGAGAACCGGCGGCGAGAAACAGCGGCGCGTCTTCATTGGCTATGACGCGGTTCGGCGGCAAGCAATCAGAATGAAGTAGTCCACCGCTTGAGCGGAGTTCAGAGAACACAGACCTGTAAACTTCGGTTCCGATCACAGTTGTTCCCAAGAGTTTGATTATTGCGGTTCCTGGATTTTCAATTATTAAAAATTGCGACGACGTGGGGCCCCCTAATCACGCGGGGCCCCCCAGTGGTGCGTGCCCTGCGGGCCCGTCCGCTACACCATTGCAGGTAATGTTTTCCCCTCTCTCTCTCTCTCTGTTGGTAAAGCGTTGTCAACAAATATTTTTCCTCCATATCCCATAATGCACAGCGCATCGGCCTACGGCAGCTGAATTAGTCCAAAACGCGGCAGTACTTTGTGCGGTTGGACCTGTTTTAGCACGGATCATATTCTCACCACAAACGAACCGCTCCAGGGTTCGTTTGAAAGCGTACCGAGACCACCTCTTCAAGCAGGTCTCGGTACGCTTATTTGGTCCGCTTTTGGTGCGCACTCGAGTACGATTGCTGCATTCTCACCTGCCCAAACGAACCGCACCAAAAGGGGAAACGAACTCTAGTGCGATTCAATCGAACTAAATAAGGCAGGTGTGAAAGCACCCTAAGAAGGGCTCTGCCCGTTCAGTATCTAGATGGGAGACCACATGGGAAAGCTAGGTTGCTGCTGGAAGTGGTGTTAGTGAGGCCAGCAGGGGGTGTCCAACCTGCAGTCTGTCTGGGTCCTAATGCCCCAGTATAGTGACGGGGACTCATATATACTCTATACTGCTCAGTACTGTCTTTCGGATGAGACGTTAAATTGAGATCCCGACTCTCTGTGGTTGTTAAAAATCCCTGGATGTCCTTTGAA